TGTGTTGCCTGCATGTAGGTAAGTGCACCCGTGTCGTTCATTGCCCACAAAGGCCAGAAGAGTCTGTCGGATCCCCTGGAACCAGAGTTACAGACAGTTGTTAGCTGCCATGTGGGTGCTGGGATTCAAACTTGGGTCCTCTGCAAGAACACCCAGTGTTCTTAACCTCTGAGCCATCTCTCCAGCCCCTAATACAATTTTTTAAAGTTACTAATTTACCTGGAAACTGTATAAATAGTTACTAAAAATTCAAAATTTCAATGAAACTCTTCTGCCTATTTGTGGTATGTTACTGGTGTATTTTTGTAGTGATTTCATTCATTAAAATGCATCAGTTTAGTCTGCTTTATAATTTATGTGCATTATTCTAATACTACATCAAGACATATATCTGATGGGGGGAAAAGGATCAAGGATTTTAAACTCAGATTGACTATATGACTAAAACAGCAAACATGTTGAGAGCTTTGCTTTGAAAGCTGCTATCTTCTTTCTCTTTAAAGTGACAATGAACCAGACTGAACATAATCTGACTGTGTCCCAGATTCTGTCTCCCCAAACGTGGCATGTGTTTTATGCAGACAAGTATACCTGCATAGACAACAAAGAAAACTCTCAAGTGGAAGACATCCCCTTTGAAATGGTGTTACTGAACCCAGATGCTGAAGGGAATCCATTGGATCATTTTAGTGCTGGAGAATCTGGTAAGATTTGTATTTAAATGTATCTATAAATCCTAAAGAAGATTTATGCACTGATATCTTCATATTATGTTTTTAGAAAATTAAAAATGTAAAGCCACCCACATTTAAAAAGCAGAGCACTAAAATTTGTATAACTTGACTTTGCGGGTATTAAAAAATACAGAAAATAAAACAAATTGTAAAACATTAATAGGTTGTTTGCATATCCAGAGAGGTACAGCTGTATAGCTTTTAGTTTCCTTTAACAGTCTAAATCTTATTTTTATGATATTTTTCATTATTATAAACAAAAATATTAATAACATGAGCAGTCTAAATTGGTAATTCAGGGATTGAGGTATAAATTGAATTATTTTGTTGGGCTGTACCCTTCACTATGTTGAACAGTTTAGAAATTGCTTTTGCTTTTATTGGCTCTTACATAGTAATGATCAGGTCTATAATGTTTTTTGGAATCAGATTTGCTCCTATAAGACTTCATCAGAATTTTAGATCACCGTGTCCTGCCCTACTGAAGTGAGATTCTAGCCACATAAAACGACTTTGGATCACAATGAATATCCTGTAAAGTATAACAGATTTTTCAGTTTACGTGCTGGAGTAAGAATCTATGTAGGCATCTGTAAAGGAAAAGGGCTTAAGGTTCACTTCATGAATTCACTGGCCACCAGAAAAAGTCAATCTTAGAGACAATGCCACTGGATCTCTTTGGCCATAAAGAAGACAGGTAGAGGGTTGAATAAGAATGAAGCCACATGGGGCTGGAGAGATGGCTCGGTGGTTAAGAACACTGGTTGTTCTTGTAGAAGACCCAGGTTTGAATACCAGCACCCACATGGCAGCTAACAACTATCTGTAACTTCAGTCTCAGGGGATCTGACAGCCTCTTCTGTCCTCTGCAGGTATTGCACGACATGGGTGCACTTACCTACATGCAGGCAACACGCACATACACATAAAATAAAAATAATAAAATTAATTTTTTTTAAAAAAAGAAAAGAATGAGGCCACATTAGACTTAACTGATTTAGTTCAGTGTGTAAATTTGCCACAGCTCAGAAAACAAACCAAAGAGCATGTGTAATAGTAGGTGACTAATAAACTATGAACTTTTGAACCTTTATAAAGAATGTCCTTTGGTTTATAAAAGTATATAGAATGACAGCTTTTAAAATTAAAATGTATAGAGTGATGGTCTTTAAAGTCTTTAATATCTGTAAACGAAATAACAGTGTAAGCCATTCAAGTTGTTTGTGAGTACAAATGAACTTACATGTTAACTTTCACTAATGATATCTCAGACTGGTATAGATCATTACTAGATGCTGGTCCTACCATATGTTTTATCTTTATAAAAGATGCTGGTGTTTACTGTTAGTGCTGTGGGAAAGTATTGCTGAAACCCAGCTCAACTGATAACATTAGATGGATAGTTGGACTAAATTTCTCCATACAGTCTGAAGACTAAGACTTCATTATTTCCTATGACACTTATCTTTAGGACTGCTCAGAGCTTATCAGAAAGTAATGCTCTGCTGCCGCCACTAGCTGTTTCCCCTCCTGCCTTGCAGACAACTAGACCGTTAGCGCAACGGTTGTTTGCTTTACAAAAAAAAGAAGAAACAGAAAAAGAAAGAAAGGTTGTTTTGTATATTATGTTGGGTCCATGAGACATCTCTGAATCCTCATAAACTTTTTCTCCTTCTCTAGACTCCCATTTCTGTTTTTTCCTCATCTCAAATTATGCACCTAAACTTTGGCCCCATACCATAAAGTGATCACATAGATGTTGTGCTGAGACCTCTACATGCCAGTCATATTCACCTGCCTTTTCCTGAACTGCCTACACCTCTAATATTTTCCTTCACATCCTGAATTATTTCTAGCTTTTGTTTAGAATTCATACAAAGTATTTGTCCTAATTACTTCCTTTTGCTGTGATAAAAACACTGACCAAAATCAGCTTGGGGAACAGAGGGTTTATCTTACATCTCCCAGGTCATAGTTCATCACTGAGAGAACTCAGGGCAGGAACCTGGAAGCAGGAACTGAAGCACAGACCACAGAGAAATGCTGCTTAGTGCCTTGCTCCCTTGGCCCGTGCTCAGCCTGCTTTCTTATACAATATGGGACCACCTACCCAGGGGTGAACTGGGCCTACCCACATCACTCAATCAAGAAGATGCCCCCGAGACATGGGCACAGGTCAATCCAATGGAGACAATTCCTCAAGTGACGCTCCCTCTATCCAAGTGTAACAAATTGACAACCAAAGCTATCCAGCACACCATTCTAATCAGTTTCTTAGTCCTGAGGCTCTCTGACCTGTCTCTTGACTTTCGTTACTGATTTGGTATACAAAAGCTGACATTCTTAATCTAAAATGGGAAAGTTACATTGGTCATGTCACTGACAACATTTAAACATTTGATTAATCATCAGATTCAGTGCAGGTCCAGCCTGTAAGGATTGATTAAGTGTCAGAAAGAACCCAGAAGTGCTTGGGTTCTTTTTGAAACTTTTAAACTCTTAAGTGCTCTTAAAAACTAGTCTGTTCCTGGCTTAATTTCTAAAAGTTACATTATTTTATTGATTAAAATTCTTGAAAGTCCTTGTGAGTAAATCTACATTGAAAATATACATATAGAGATGTGTTTTGTTTTGCCTCTTTTGTTAGTTTAAAAAAAAAAAATCCACATAAATGCCCCAAGAGACTCAGATTTATTTTGGATTGTAAGGCAAGCATTGGATCAGAGCTCTGAGGTTGCAGTACAGAGTTCTGAAGTGAATAACCGCTAAGGTAGAAGCCCGTAATTGTCATTTGGGTGATGTTTTTACAGTACATCCCTACATCCCTAAGAGGGCTTCTTCCTATTGTGTAGGCTCAGGTATGGATTTTGTTTCCAGAGAATAATTTCCTATCCATTTTGGAAACTTTCGTGAGTTTGTCTAATTATCTATTCTTGGTAAGAAAATTTTATTTTCTCTGCTTTTTATTGAGAACTGATCATATTTCTGGGAGATTTAAGTTAAAATAATCTACTTTATAAATAACCTACACTTAATGTTGTGTTATTCTCTTTAAATTTTTTCCCTTCAAAACAATGTATATCTTTTAGACTTTTGTTAATCCTTCATTTTGCAATGTAACTCTAATTTTACAAAACAAAGGCAAATTTGATGCCACTTAACAAAGTACTAAGTGCGACTATAAGACTTTAAGCTATAGTAAAATAGAATTGCTTCTTAGAAAGATTACAGTCCTTATTAACTGTATTTGTGCACTTGTTAGAAGTACCAGAATCTTGAGCGCATACTTACTGTCTTAGGCAAACAGCTGGTTTTTACTGAGTAATATTACAGGCTTTGCCACATCTACTAAATTCTAATGGATAAATTTGTGCCTTTTTGTTTTCTCTTTTTTCCTCCATGTTCCAAAAGATAATAGGTGGGTGGGCCTTCAATTTAGTACTGGTAATATGTTCCAATTTGGGGGTTTGAAGTAACAGAAAATCCCAGTACAAGTGATATATTTAGTAAAAAAAAAAAAATGTCTTAAGAAATGAGAAGTTGGAAGGCTTCTCCAGAAGTGATTGCTCACCATTTCCCTACCTTGCTATCTCTGTTAGATTTGTCTTTAGGCAAGCTACCTGAAGCTCAGAGTTAATTCTGGACACTCATTTAGGTAATGGCAAAATTCAATATCTCTTTTTAAGAGGAAGAGAGTCTTTCCCAGAAGCTCCATGTCATGAGTCATTGGCCAGAACAAGTTTATATATCTTTGCTATGTGGCATCATCAGAGAAATAAGTTAGGAAATCAGAAAGAAGCTAAGGGTAGACAAACCAGTCCAGTAGTATAGGAATCTTGATAGGTATTGAGACATTTGATGGTAGGTGGACATTGGGCTCTGAGACAGTGGGAAGGAAGTTACAGGCATGTGCTCTAGTGCTCCTAGTGACCTGGGAATGCTTCCCTCTCTCTTCCTTTGCCTCTCCTATTGCTCAGCTGAGGCTATTGAGCTGCCTTCTAAGAATTCTCCAGCTCAATTTTGTCAATGCTTCTTTTGAACTTGCTTTGTGATCTGCATATTTCCTTATAAGTTCACCTGTTACATACTCATCTAAGCATTTTCTTTAGTGTATATTAATTTTTAAATAAGACTTAATGTCCACTTGTTTTAAAATCACATTTTAATTTCAATGTGAACAACACAAATTGCTTTCTTCTTATGAAGGCTAGTGGCAGAACAAAAGTAAAATTGGTAGCTGAAGAGACAAAGAAAGACTTGACTTAGAGGTGATTTAGTTAAAAGACAAAACAAACAGCCCAGAGAGGAGAATCAATATTTTTATCTTTAAAGTGTCTTATGGACAAGGTAAGAATCATTTATCAAAAATTTAGTGACCAAAATATGGGACAACTATCTTAGTTTATTTAATATATTATAATTTCTATATTTTATAATTTATTGATTATAATGCTAGTTTTTTCTAGGATATACATCGCCATTGAATATTCCTAAAAGTTTTTTTTCTGGTGATACGTCTCATTGCTAAAAGTCCCTTTGCCCTACATTATTTTGATTTCTTAGTAAATAATCTGAGGATTTTCTTTTCATGGTGGATTTGTAACCTAATAGAGTCTGAAACCTGACCCTGTAATGGATGTTCTACAAAGTATTACAAGTAAAATTACTTTAAGTGGATGCTTTTTTAAATTGTTTAATACAAAGAAGGAAAAGTTAAAAATTAAGGTTAAAGCACAGGATAGTATAAGGAATTTTATTGATCCACAGCTGTTAACATGTTAGTGTTTATGTTTTCTGTCTTGTTCTAGTGCTATAATAAGTGTCATGATGCCATTATTCTAAAGCTTCAATGTCTTTCTCTTAAAGGAATTTAAAACAAAGTAGGCACCTTCTATTATTTGATTGTCTTTTCCTGAAGCCTAACCAAACTTCTTCCCGTGCACCAGAGACATGTACTCTCATCACCTTACAGATAGAGCAGGAGAGACACCCAGTGGTAGAAGACTTTGCTGCTTTTTATTCTTTTACTGATGCCCCTCAAAATGATTGAGTTTGAACTATTTGTTGACTGTTTTTCTTGGGATATGTGCCTCATGGTTTGCCTTCCAAAATTACTTTTCCAGAAAATGGATGTATCCTCTTTTCATTAATTGATATTTACCCCAAATGGGAAGTTGGAGCAATCTCAGACTTCACGGTTGGAATGGGAGTGAATACAAGTTAAACTTCATGTACCAACAGAGTAGAGACCACTCAGTTCACAGCCACTGTCACAACACTAGTGTTAAGTAAAATGTAAAAGCCCTACTACTGAGATCTGCCTTAGTATAACCTAGTACAGTTGACCCCCATATCAGTGGATTCCATATCCATGGGTACAACCAGCCACAGATGAACAATACCTTTTGTAAAAATTGTATCTGTACTGAAAACATGCTGGCTCTTTTCTTTTCAGTGCTCCCTAAACTATAGTATAATATATATTTACATGGCACTTACTATATTACTGTATTGTATTAGGTATTGAAAATAATCTACAGATGATTTAGAGCATATAGCAGGATGTACATTTGATTTTATAAATGCCATACATTTTACAGATTATTTCATGGATTTTGTTATCTGATGGGGTCCTGAGGCCAGTCCCCTTGAATTCAAAAGGAAGACTATAAATCCATTAAAGTTAAAACCATGAAATTCCCAAGCTTATATTTCAAGTTTATTAGAAAAATTTTCTGAAAATTCTCAAAAACTCAATTAAAAAGATTCCAAGTACACAGGAAGGGTGGTGTTTATTATGAGGTCACATGAAAACTATATAGAAAAAGCACTGGTAGAGGTTGCCAGAATGAGTGGAATCTGTAGTCGTACTCAGTTTTTATCTTTGCCAGCCAGTTTCCTTTGTTCATAATTTTTGCTCACTCAAAACTTTGACTTCTTCATGACCTGATTTGACGCCACTGGCCTAGTTGAACATCAGCTCGTTTCAACTTCTGTGGCCTACTTTACAGACTTTGCAGTTTGAATGCTGAGGAGAGAATGATTCTTGTAACTAGCCTTTGAGAACCAACTTAAATTCTTGGCCACTTGGACTGGTGGCTATTTGTACAGTTATTTAACTTTGGCATGGAGTCACCTGATTGCTATAGGATTTCCTCTTCAGCAGAAAGTATATGTGAGAAGGAAGCACTGTACATGATAGATGTTTTAAAGCTTTGTCCAAATGGAAAGCCAAGGTTATGGAGCATTCTAGGACGGTGATTCCCACGTTATTTGTTTCAGAATTTCTCAAGTGCTTACTAAAGCAGACTGTTGGGCTTCATCCTCCAGAGTTTCTGATTGAGTCCATCCAAGGTGGGCCCTAAGAATTTGTGCCACAAGTTCTCGGGTGATGTTGCTGGTTCAGGGTCCACACCTGGAGAAGCATGGTCAAAGTGTATTAAGCTGTTGTTGACAGAATAAATATTTCTAAACTTCTTAGAAAAGAAGTCCACTTTGAGGTTAAAAAGTAATGCTGAAGGATGAAGTCACTTTTGATGTTTTCAAACAAAACTGGTCTCTGATTTTATGGTGAGTCTTTATACTTCTTTAACTTACTTTGTTGTTGTTTTACAGATTGCCTTTAACTATAAGCTGCCTTCTTATAGTTAAAACTTGGTCCCAAAATAGAAAAAACTAATAATTTCCATCTTTTTTCCTTATAAAGTGAATGCTAATGACTCCAGTTAAAAAAACAATTTTGAGCCAGGTGTGGTGGTGCACGCCTGTAGTCCCAGCACTTGGGAGGCAGAGGCAGGCGGATCTCTGTGAGTTCAAGGCCAGCCTGGTCTACATAGTGAGATATGATTAAAAAAAAAAAAAAATTTCTAGAAATAAATTGATAGGAAGATTTAAAAGCAGCCCAACATTATACTGGTTTTGTTTTACTGAAGCAAACTCCCTTTCTTCTCTTCACAGGGTTACATGAGTTCTTTTTCCTCCTAGTCCTAGTATACTTTGTGATTGCTTGCATTTATGCTCAGTCATTGTGGCAGGCTATTAAGAAAGGAGGACCCATGCACATGATATTAAAGGTTCTGACAACTGCATTGCTGTTACAAGCTGGTTCAGCTTTAGCTAATTACATTCATTTCTCCAGGTAACTCAAAACCACTGTGTTCATCATTACATCTAATTAATCCTAATTAGTCCACCAAAATTATGCTTGCTTTGATTATGAACAATTTTTTTTCCACGATTGTAATTTACACTAATACTCTCCTCTTCAATTCTTCAGGTACTCCAAAGATGGAATAGGGGTACCTCTTATGGGAAGTTTTGCAGAAGGTAAGTATCTTTTTGAATATTTTTTTCAAAGATAAATACCATCTATTTGTTTTTCTTCTTAAACTTATTTTCAGCTAGTGGTATAGCTCAGTAGTGGAGTACTTACCTAGCATTAAAATGAGGACCTGGGTTCAGTCTCCAGCACTACTAAAAAAAATAATAGATGACTGATTTTGCTATGCTGTTTTTTTTTTTTTCCTGCCCAAGGTTTCTTAGAACTCGACTGAAACAGAACTCTAGCTTAGTTCTCTGATCTTGTTCGGCTTCTTCTTACTAAGAGGTTATAGATGTGGCTTAGCTCTTAATTGTTCATTATTTGTGTGTATTCCCTTAATTTAGCCTCAGTAAAAAGTAGGTATTCTTAGCCCATTTTGCACATTCTGGACTTAGTAAATAAACCACATTTCTAAATGTCAGTCAGCTAGTGAGCCATAGAGCCCAGGTTCAGACGCAAATTTTCCAGTCCCAGAGCTGAAGGGTTTTTTCCCATTGTAATCATATTTTCACTTATACTGGCTTTTTCTGTGTTTCTGATCCAAGACCATCATGTGAACACCTATAATTGAGCTGACCTTGCATCCTTGTTCTTTTATTTATAAGAAACTTAATGAGTAATTTAAAAATATTTAAAAGGTCTTGTAATCATAACACTTTAAAAGGGACTTCAGAGGGAAATCAAGTCATATGATGTTTATAATCCTAGAAAATTGATTCGTTTTAAGAAGTAGATTTTTGGGGGGGGGAGGGGAGAAGATTTCGAACATGAAACCACACTGCGTTTTACTTTTCCTTGTCTTTCCAAAGTTCTTTTCTAGTCTCATCATTCTTTAGTAGGGTGTCTTTTGATGATTGTCGTTAATGTTCTCAGGATCCACTGTTCCAGATCTTACCACATATTTTATGATTCTGAAACTTCAAGAACCTTTATTTACCTTGTGAAAAGAATATATACAGTTCACCTGTTGGACATGAACAAGAGGCACTTGCCGTTTCTGAACATGGTCTAGGCTTTAGCTTCTCCCTTGCTTTGCTTTGCTTTCCTTTCCTTTCTTTCTTTCTTTCTTTCTTTCTTTCTTTCTTTCTTTCTTATTTATTTTGGTCTTTTTTTTGAAGCAGGGTCTCCTTGTAGCCCCAGCTGTCCTGGAACTCACTATGTAGACCAGGCTGGCCTTGAACTCACAGAGATCCGCCTGCCTCTGCTTCCCAAGTGCTGGGACTACAGGCGTGTGCCACCACGCCCAGCTTTCCTTTGCTTTTCTATTAGCTATATTTTGAATGTTTAATAGAATAATAGTGTTAAAGCTGGTCAGAACCATACAAACAGCTTAGGCATTTTTAGATGATGAAATTGACATCCAAAGAGGCAAAGCATACAACACAGACCTGATTTTTCTGATCTATTTCTAAAATCAAGGTCCATTGAATAGTTGTATGTGTCTGCTATATATAAAACAGTTTTGGGCTCCTTGACTTTCTTTTTTGTTGTTGTTGTTTTGTTTGTTTTGTTATTTGTTTTGTTTTAAGACAGGTCTCACTGTGTAGCCCCAACTTGCCTGGAACTCACTATGTAGACCAGGCTGCCTTGAACTCAGAGATCTGCTTACCTCTGCCTCTGCCTCTGCCTCTGCCTCTGCCTCTGCCTCTAGAGTGCTAGGATTTAAGGTATGTGCCACCATGCTGGCTTCTCTTTTTTTTCAGTGCTGGAAATTCAAACCCAGGGCCTTTTGCCTGCTAAGCAAGCACTCGCTTGTGAACTACATCCGTTGGTGTTTGAGAGTGGCTCTGGCTTTGAACTCACTCTGTAGCCCAGGCTGGCCTCAAACTCAAAATTCTACTACTCTCAAATACTAGGATTGCACGTGTGCCCCACCATGCCATGTACATTACCTTGCCCTATGCAATAGTTTTTGGTTTTGGTTTTGACAGCATAAATTGACATTGCTAATTGTAATTCTTCTAACAAAAGAGTTGTCTAGTTAAATGGTTAAAATTCAAGAGAGTAGAGTTTTTGTGTGATCTGTGTATTCTGCCTACAATTTGCTATTTTCAGTAACAAATGAGCATAGTTCTTCTATATGGTTGTAGTATTATATTGATCTTTATACAACTCAGTATATAAAATAAGCTAGAAATTAATATTTTCTTGGGTATTTGTTTTTGCTACTTAAGAGCTTATTCTTTGAGCCAATTTCTTTATCTAGTTACTATTTATTTTTGAAATGTTTAATAAAATTAATTGGCATCACCCATTTAAAAAATGTGCTTGATCTAACAATCTATGTCATTCAAGTATAGAAACAGTACATTATCAGCACTCACTAACATAAGTACATAAGCATTCATGTGTGACATGGGGACATTCATTATATCCTGGAGAGACAACAAACATCAACAAACATCTTTTTACTCCAGAGAGGGCACAAACAACAGACCAAAAAAAAAAAAAAAAAAAAAAGAATTCCATCCAAGTGTAGCTTGGTGAGCCAGTGAACCTAATTAGGGTTACTTAGAGTGGCTTGGGCAGCTTATAAGCAGCTACACCTCTGAAGATGTCTCTTACGCTCCCCCAGTAGCTGTTAACTGTCTATATATAATCTGGAGGAGCGAGACCCTGTGAGCGTTTCCCCACCCTCCATGATGGGAAGTTCATGGGTCCAATTTTGTGCAGGTCTCTTACAGGTGATCTCAGGAGAGTTTAGGTGAGCAAGGCAATTGCCATGTCATGGCCAGTGTTCCACAACAGTACATACACAGTGGCCTATTTCAACTTAGATGGCAGAGCAGGGGGCATATCTGTCTAAATGGATCTAAAAAGGTTATGTTAATAGATTTTTGATGTGCAGCTTGAAACATAGGCATTATACCCCAGCTGTTTTTCTCTATTTTTACAGGAATATCTGTTACACAAAAGACGTAAAAGTTAAGAATTAACATCAATTATATAGGTGGCAGTTTGTTAATTGTGATCATAAGTTTATTATAAAAAGTGATAGCTTTTTTCTAAGCCAGTAACTATTAGTTTATAAGATAAATATGCATAGAATCTGAAGCATGTATAGATTTTTGTTTGTTTTTGTGGTGTAGCTCCGGATACAGGTGGTTTTATTGGATTATTTTTCGAAGTAGTCGAGTTCCCCTGCAGTGCAAATGATGGCCACCTGGTGGCACATTGCACTAATTCATGGAACTTTTCATTTGTCTTCAGGACTCCCTATATAAGTGATGTGATGGTGGCTATGTGATTTATTATCTTATTAATAGTTTTGGAAAATATTCTTCATACTGTAGTTCATCCATCAAACTTTAATTAGTACCCTAGAAAAGATTTTGTACAATGCAAAAATTATATTTAAAATTGGTTACTTTGGTCAAGATTGTACATAACAATAAAAGCTTAAAAAAATGGCTTTAAGGTTGGACTAGTATGGGTATGATATTGCTGCTGTTTTGTTTTTGTAAACAATTACACATTTTATGGCAAATTTAAAAATTTTTAGAATTATACATTAGTATCTCTTACTGAATTTCCTTAGGTTGTCTTTGAAAATATCCATCTTTTGTGGTTTACAGAACAGGTAGTCTCATGTCAGTACAGGACATGCCAAATTCTATATATTTTGAAACCTTGACTAACTTTGGTTTTCATTTCTCCTTAGTTTTTGACATTGCCTCTCAGATTCAGATGTTATACCTACTTCTGAGTCTCTGCATGGGCTGGACAATAGTCAGAATGAAGAAATCTCAAAGCAGACCTCTCCAATGGGACTCTACCCCTGCGTCCACAGGCATTGCAGTGTTCATTGTTGTAACACAGGTGGGTGTTGCTGCTCTGTTTCTGTTTAATAGTATTCAGAAATATCAACTTGAAAGTGTCTCATTGCAAAGTGCAGACTCAGGACCCGTGAGAAATTTGTACCATCATGAGGTGTGGATTTAAAAACCAGAGAGGAAATCATCTTTTTATCTTCTGGGTACTAATATAGATAGTAGCTTAATTGTAGCTTATGCTTTCTTTTCTAGTATTTTATTTATTATTTTTATTTTATATGTATGTGTGTATTTCCTGCATGTAGGTAAGTGTACCCGTCTCGTGCAATGCCCATGGAAGATAGAAGAGGCTGTCGGACTCCCTGAAACCGGAGTTAACGGACAGTTGTTAGCTTCCATATGGGTGCTGGGATTCAAACCTGGGCCTTCTGCAAGAATAATCGGTGTTCTTATCCGCTGAGCCATCTCTCCGGCCCTGAGGCTTACACTTTTTAAAGAATAGCATTTCGTACTTTTTCTGTTTTAAAAATATTTAATTTTTTAGCATTTCTTAATAATAGTTTACATTCATGTTTTTATCATATAGTAAATGCTCAGCATTCATTGAATGAATTAATGAATTTGAGATTGTATCCATCAGTAAGGATCTTTAGAATTGGCTACTTTGTGCACTGAAGTATCCAGATGACTGTCTAAGATTAATTAAAAGGCAAAATTAGAATACAGAAGAGTGGGGTCTATTTTAAAAACAAATGCAAAACCAGACCTGGTCTCTTAGAAAGGTCCTCTGCTATCTCCTTTTCCTCTGGAGTGGTGGTACTGGCATTATTCTAAGGTATCCAGATGCTTATGAACAATACATTGGTGAAAACTAAAAAAATAAACAGAAATTTAAATTGCCTTACTAGTCGTAGCTATAGATGATAAACTGAAAAGGATATTATAAGTTTCAATGCATTAAATAAATTGAAAATAAGTTAGTGAAAGGTAGGACCAGTGCTTGTCTTTCCCCTTGTGTTTAGAATAGTAGGTGTTTAGCAAAGTAGGTTATTCACTGAGCGTAGTGATGCATGCCTGTATTCCCCGCCCTCAGGAGGCAGAAGCAGAGGCAAGAGGATTGCTGAATATTTGAAGCCAGCCTGGTCCACATAGTGAGTTACAGGCTAGCCAGGGATACAAAGGAGACCCTGTCTCAAAAATTAAAAAGCTACCTTGAGATAGTAACTTAGAATTGGAGTAGAAGGAGGTGGGTTTAGAAGAAAGTTTGCATTCTTTTAACCTTGTCAGTATATATCTCTTCATAGAGATGTCATATTTGAATGATGGCAGGAGCAGCTTTTTGTTTTTGTTTTGTGGTTTTTTTTTAAATGTGTGTCACTTGCTAGAAATCCCTTTTATCTTAGGGTTATGAGAGCAAGGAAAAAACTACATTATTAATTGACAGATTTATAGTCAGATAAATCTTTGCACCTCTCAGGAGTGTTTCTCTAGCATTTAAGGGTATGCTTACAAAAGGTTTTTTAATATTATTTTTATTTTATGTGTATGAGTGTATTGCCTACATGTATGTGAGTGCACCTGTGCCATGCAATGCCACAGAGGTCAGAAGAGGGCTTCGGATTCTCCTGGAACTGGAGTTTTTTCTTTTTTTTTTTTTCAGAGTATTTTGCTGCTTTGGGAACAGTTTGAAGAGACAAGTCATCACAGCTCACATTCACACCACAGCTTAGCAGGAATCCTGCTCATTGTTCTAAGGATTTGCCTAGCATTGTCATTGGGCTGTGGACTCTATCAGATCATCACAATGGAGAGGAGCACACTCAAGAGAGAGTTCTATATCACATTTGCCAAAGTATGAGCTGGGGCAGAAAGTGGCCGCTTGTGGTTGTCAGCTTTGTTCTGCTGTCTGTGCGAACAGTCACGTGTTAACCCTTGCTAAGTATTATATGTGCCAGGCACTGCTCTAGGCCCTTGATTTGTTCACTCATTTAATTTTCACAACCTGCATAATGTGGGTGTGAACCCCATTTTACAGAGCATGTACTCTTTGCAAAGGCAGTTTACCGACATCATAGTTTTTCTTTATTAATAGTGATTTTATTGTTTTTACTGTGCTACCAATTTTTTTAACTTTTAAGAAATTAAAATACAGTTTCTAATGTGTTGACAGTTACTGTCTGAATGTTTCTCTCAGAGTTCCACAATGTTTTGTAACAATCATGTCCACTTTGTACCTCCATTTTCTTTTTTTTTTCTCTTTTTTTTTCTTTTTTTTCATCCTCCTGTCTCTGACTCTAGAGTGCTGGAATTAAAGTTGTGCACCATCACCACACCCAGCCCAATGGTAACTGCTGGGGACTGAACCCATGGCCTTGGTATTATGAGCACTATGCACTAACCAGCTGAGCTAACTAGCTGTATTCATTGTACTTATTCCCCATTTCTATATCCTTAACTGGCCACATTCATTCCCTTTTTTCCATATTCTTCTTTTGCCTGAACAATCTAAAAGCAAATTTTAATCTTTGTGTACTAAGTCAAAAATGCAGGAGAAAGGTTGGATCATTAAAGAAGCCTCCCTCTCTAGAAGACTCCCATTTTTTCTTTCAGGTTAAGAAACCAATGTCCCTCCATATTAGCAACTAGAGTATTCTGGTATCCATTTAGTCTACCTTGACCCACAGAGTCTAGGCATTCTGAGGCAGCTTGGGCAGGAGAACCATAGGCTTTGCTTATTCTTGATGGTGAGCTTTGCAAAGCTTCTGCAAGTCCTAGAGACCACTAAATGGGCAAAGAAATACCATTTTGCTTTTAAACTTTTCACAGGGATAGCAGTGCTTGCTGTTTGCTAGTTAGTATTTATTTGAGACATTTCCTCTTTTATCTTTAAGATTTACCTTAAACTTTTAAAAATGAACTTTTTGAGTAGAATTTAACATCTAGCTATTTTAAAGAGTAGCAGAAAGGGCTTTTGGCCGCTCATCTCAGTTCTCATCTCTTCATTTTTGTAATCAGTGCTGCTTAAATATTCCTTCTAGGGAAGTTTTATGTAGATTCTTATTAAAAATTTCCCTCCCTTTTTATACAAGTCAAAACATACTAAACACACATTTTTCTTGCCCTTCGATCTTGAATGTGCCCAAATCATTACAGTAGCTGCTACTGGTTTTCAAATTTAATTTTGGAAAAAGAGAATATATTGCTATAGGTTTAAGGAAAATAGAGACGGTATGTGAAAAGTGTAATGTAAAAGTTCTCATTCTTACATGCCCTGTTAGCCCTTTTCTGTAAGGCACAGGTAACCATTGTGAGTCTGGTTTTGGGGCGAGGGGCGGGGGTTACTGAATTTATTTGTGTATCTGCATACAAATATGACTGAAGTTTTGTTTCTTTTTATAGAAATATTACACATTTGGGGGCTGGAGAGCTAGCTCAGCAGTTAAGAGCACTGGCTGCTCTTGTAGAGGACCCAGGTTTCTTTCCCAGCACCCACATGATGGCTAACAACCATCCGTAACTCCAGTTCCAGGGGATCCAACACCTTCTTCTGACCTCCTCAGGCATTGCACAACACAGGTGCACCTACCTACATGCAAGCAATGCATTCATACACATAAAATAAAAATACTAAAATATTTCTTTAAAAAGACGTATTACACATTTGCACTTGTACCTTTCTTTTCTCAGTTACTAATTTGTTACCTATATGACTACATTAGTAGTGTGTCAAATATATGTGTGTAACATTTACAAATATATTATAAATATTATTAAATTTTATTTAATGTATACGAGTGTATAGCCTGCATGTATGTAAGTGCACGTGTGCCATGCAGTGCCCACAGAAGCCAGCAGAAGGAGTCAGATCCCTTGGAACTGGAGTTAAAGACAGTTGTTAGCCACTATATGGGTGCTGGGAACCAAACCTGTATCTTCTGCAAGAGTAGCCAGTGCTGTTAACCCCTGAGCCATCTCTCCATTCCCTATAAATACTCTTAAAAACAATAATTTGGTTAGAGAAAAAGATTTAATGTCATAGAAGCAGTGTGTTTTCTTTATTCTACCTTTTATTTAAATTCTACTTTGAAGTAAAGCTGAGGCCAATCAAGACCTATGTATATTAGTAATTTTGTTGTTTTTGGCAGGCCTTCACTATGTAGCCCAGTGTTTCCTCAAACTTGTGATGCTCCCTCCTGTAGTCTTCCCATGCTGAGATTACAAGAGCATGTCCACCATGCATACTCTAAATGAGCTACATTCTGAGACCACATACTTAGTGATTTACTCTTTTCTTTCAGGGCTGTATCTTGTGGTTCTTATGCCATCCAGTTCTTGCTTGCATTTCTGTCATTTTTAGCGACTACCAAAGAGAAAAGGTAGGTAAAATGTGTAATCAAAATCTTTTTTTTAAATCTTTTTATGAGGAAAATATTGAAGTAGGAAATACCAGTGTATCCATTCAGAAGTTTCTTGAGTTCTTTAAAGCTCTAACATAAAATTTAAAACTGGTAAGTACATAAATTAGAAGTTATAAACATTAAAAAGGAACTTCAAAAATAATTAACTCAGGTTTGGGTATGGTGGCTCACACCTTTAATCCCAGCACTGGGAGCCAGAGGCAGGCATATCTCTTGTGAGATGGAGGCCAACCTGGTCTACATATAGCAAGTTCTAGGCCAGCTGGGGCTACAGAAAGTCCCTGTCTCAAAAAACCAAATTCATAAGCAGAATGATGGAAATTCTTTATTTTTTAGACAGGATCAGAGTAATAGCCTGCCTGATCTGGAATTTGCTATGTAGACCAGGCTGGCCTCAAACTCAGGTTGATCCAACCTCGGGTTCGGATCATAGGCATGTGCTACCTACCATAGCTGTTGTGGGTTCATATTTTAGCCTATTTCAGAATAGAGTTTTATTAATTAAATCAGGATTTGTGATACATCTTTTTTTGGTCCTTTTGAGACAGGGTCTCACTGTAGCCACAGCTGACCTGGATTCACTAGGAGACCAGGCTGGCCTTGAACTCACAGATCCACCTGCCTCTCTCTGCCTCCTGAGTGCTGGGATTAAAGGCATGCGCCACCACAGCCGGCTGTGATACATCTTTTTAAAGAAAGAAATTAAAGTTGTCATAACAGCAATAGTCAAGATACATGTATAAAAATCAGTGTAGTTGCTTTAACAGACTTCAGAATAGAGTGTGCTGACTTTTGATTATGTTACCTGCCCTCTTGGTGAAAGCATCATTTGAAAGTGGAGTTCTGCCAGGAGCCCTTTATAGGCAGTGCAGTATGTGCTTGAATGCATAGGTGCTGCTTGAGCCTGAGGAGTTTACAAAGGGTAAAAAAATAGGAAGGTAGTCTACAGAAATGGGTAAGTGGATGTCTGAAAGGGCTTTTGGAGTGTCTTTAATGTTTAAATAAGAACATGCTTTATTGCTGTTGCTAAATTAGTTAGGAAGCTGATTTTTCTTATTACTGAAACTCCTATTTGTAATATACACACCCTTAGGAGATAAAGTTCTTCCTTATCCTACTTTGGCATCTATAAAACTAACTGTTAAAGGAATTTTATTTTACCCTTGAACAATTACAGTCTTGAACTTAAGTCATATTTTCCTGTGGGTTTTTTTTTTTTTTAATGTACCTATGATAAAGATGAAGGATAGTAGACTGTATACAAAAGCGTGTTTGGATTCATGACACATTGAATGCAATTTCTCTGCTTCTGACTATAGTAAAAGCATCCCCTTTCTTTTCTTTTTAGGTTATTACAATAGGTGTTATCCTTTGCCAGTCTGTTTCCATGGTTATTCTCTACAGACTCTTCCTGTCCCATAGTCTATACTGGGAAGTTTCTTCACTTTCATCAGTAACACTACCACTGACAATTTCATCAGGACACAAAAGTCGCCCTTATTTCTGATACTTGATTTTTGTTGAAAGGACAAGTGATTGAATGAAAGTGCAATAAGGAAAATACAGTGACTCTTTTCATGTGTTTGATATGAAAAAGTGAAAGCCAAGTGTGTTATTTATATAACTGCATTTCAGCAGTACCAAAACTCAGAAAAGGTAATAAGTGAAATGTTTTGAAATATGTTTAAAACAATAAACTATTAAGAAAGAATGTTGCTGTAAGGTGATTGAAGCAATTTCCAAGTGGAAAAATGGAAAAAAGACTTATGTGATACTCGGGTAAGATATTCACCACTTAAAATGCCTCATACCAATATCAAACTCAGGTCTGATAGTCTTATAAAAAGTAATCAGTTAAATGATTACTTGCTTATGCATACCTAACCAGTCCAGTTAGGAAATCAGTGTGGTCTACTGATTTTAAAAACTGCTTATTTTTTATGCTTTAAAGAAAGTACATTTCGTCTTAGAGCTTAAAGGAATTGAAAATGAAATAACTTCAGAAAACAAATATAAAATGTTAAACAGTTAAATGAATAAGCTTTTGTTTTTCATGGGTCGATTTTTGTCTTGTATTTTTGGCTCTGGTTCAGGTTTTATCTTGATTAACAGAGGCTTTTGGACAGTGAGTGGAAAATAAAGCTTAGACACATTATTACATGGGTTATAAGAACAGATTTTAAAATCTGAGCACTTAGGTGAAGGGAGAGCCAGGTTTGTGTGTTTAAGAAGAAAGAAGAAAAGAGTAGTGTGTGAATGATATGGTACTAAAATTTTAATCCTGATATAATTCATTTCTCTTACATTGAATCCTCAATCATAATTAAGCCGTATATTCAGATTAAATTAACAGAAGCATTTCACATAGATGTTAGTTTCTGTCATCAACTACCCATGAATTCCTGCCCAAGGATACTTAATCAGGATTAAATTTTCTATGAATAATTGAAAAACAAAATACTCACTGGATGTGTTCTAATCCGTGTTGGCACTGGATTCTAAGTAGTTGCCATCTTGAATCCTTTGTAATAAAGCCGTGTGTGTGTGTGTGTGTGTGTGTGTGTGTGTGTGTGTGTTTTCCTCAGATTGAGTATGCTAGTTAAAGTGCCTGAACAAAGAACTGGTTGTGTGGTTGTTCACACTTGCTGTATAAAATGAGTAACCCAGTTAATAGTTACTGATGGGAAATTATTCTTCATATTTTTCAAGTTGTTCAGGCCTTTTTGTTTTTACCATTGGCTTATTTAAAATATCTTTTATCTGCTTACAACATTTTTAAGCAGGAAATGGTACAATAACCTGGTAATTGGAACTTTTTAATGAAATAGTTCAAGTAATGTAGCACAGTTTAAAAATATCTATGGCTTTGTCTTTGATTTCCCTTTCATGTAGTTTCATTGGAAATAATATTCTTCATTTTAAAGGCAAAATGTGTTTGCAGCTAGCAAATGGCAAAGCAATGAAGCTCAGCCTGTTGATTAAAAATAATCTCTTTATGAGTGTATATCACTCAGTTAATGAGAGCTACAGGTTACTACTGGAAAGTATAAAGTATGTCTTAGGTTTGTAGGATCTACCAAGTGGTCATAACCTTTTTCTATCACTGTGTCTCACTAATATCAGTTAGTGTCTGTTGTATTCAAGTAAATTCTGCTTAATTAAAACTAAAAAAAAACATGTGAATGAAGCCTTTTCCTAAATTTTGTGAGCTTTCAGCAATAAGAAGGAAGCAGTCTTGATTTTTTTTTTTTTTAACACAAAGAGCACAGTGACATAGTGAACACCGGAGACTTGTCGACATGCTTACATTTGTAAAACTTTTAACAGGTGTTTGACTTATTTTTAATGTATGCATAATAATTTATATTTCTATTCAAGGGCTATTACTAAATGAAAAACAGATGCTAATAAATATATAAAGCTGTCCTTGGTTAACAAAATCAAGGACAGATGTATGGTTCATAGTTATAACAGTACCTTCTCTTTTTTTCTTAGAGGGTCATCGCTACAGATTACAGAAAGATGAAAACTTTTCTAATTTATTTCTCCTGTCAGATAATACTTTCTTTTTTACATTTTTACATTTTTTTCCCATAAAGAGAAATGGTCTGCTGACACCTTTAAGAAGCATTTCTTCTAAGAAGACATGAAGATGTTTCTTTTTATTGGCATATATAACAATATGAATACTTAATGTTTATCAGGACATTTTAGCTTTATTATAACTAAGCCCTGATGCAGTAGCCAAGTTCCCATTTAACTGAGTAGGAAAGTAAATAAATGTATCTTTGGAGGTCAGTAGACCTTTATTATTTTTTAACTTCATAATTTGGTGACCATATATATATATATTTATTTATTTATTTATTTTAGGGGTGTGTGTATGTTTTAATATGTTTGTGTACATGAATATATGCACACATGCGTGTGGATGCCTATGGAAGCCAAAAGAGGATTTAAGATCCCCTACAGCTAGAGTTACAGGCAGTTATGAGCTGCCTGACATGGGTGCTAGGAACCCAACTTTGATCCACTGCAAGAGTAGAAAGCGCTTTAACTGTTACATCATCTCTCCAGCCCCACAGCGTGTGTTTTTAATGAGAAAAAATGGCTATTTGTAGTTAGTTTGGGCTGTCGATTTCAGTATTAAACCTGCAATTTTACTGAAGTCTAAAATGAGCTTGAATAACTATAAAAACTTAGCATACTTAATATTTGAACCTTGGCTTGCAGTCAATGTTGCCGACAGGGATAGTTAATTCAGGCAAAAGAACTCACTTTCAAGAAACTTTTCATGATCTCAAAGTAAGCCAAAAGTGATAAAAATAAATATATACAAGTCTGAGGTCAGTGCTACTGAGACTGCACCTTGCACATTGATAGAACATGGGCCCCTTCACCACATTCTCCCTTAGGAGACTTCAGACTCTGGAAATTCTTTGGAAACTAGAGTTATTTGTGAAGCATTCTTGTACTTAGCTTCTGTGGATTCAGAATATTGAAGATTTTGTTTTTGTCTTGAGAACTGGTAGGATTGTTGTGAACAGAAAACAGTTGGAAGCTCAATAAGAAGAGGTGGTACCATTTTTAAACCCAATATGAATTCACAGATTGAGACCAAACATGAGATTGACTTCTCCTGTGGAGTCTGAAAACTGATGTGGGTACACCGTAGCTGGTACCCTTGCAGTCGTCCTCTCAGTAACATTACTGCTTCCACACCTGGGCTGCCATCTGCCGCTCCAGGGGCATGGCACACACTGCTCTAGGAGTGTCAGGAGGCCTGGAGGTGTGGGAAGAAGCTGTGCGGCCCCTGGAGCCATTGATCACAGCATAGCCAAGACAGTCTCAAAAGGGAAAGAAATCATTTCAAAACATTTTTAAAATACATGAATCAGCTAGGAGTAGCTCATCAGTAGACCACTTGGCTAGCATACATGAGGCTTTACTTTCCCAGTACCATACAAGAAATGTGTGTGTAATATGTATAATATTCTCTCTCTCTCTCTCTCTCTCTCTCTCTCTGGGCTGGAGAGATGACTCAGTGGTTAAGAACGCTGGCTGCTCTCACAGAGGACCTGGGTTCAATTCCCAGCACCCACATAGTGGCTAACAGCCACCTGTAACTCCACTTCCAGGGGAATCTAACACCTGATTCTTTGAGCATTATGCAACACAGGTGCACTTACACAAATGCAGACAATACATTCATACACATAAAATAAAAAATATTTTTTAAAGTTTCAACCACTATGCCGGGCATGGTGGCACACGCCTTTAATCCCAGCACTCAGGAGGCAGAGGCAGGCAGATCTCTGTGAGTTCAAAGCCAGCCTAGTCTACATAGTGAGTTCCAGGACCTCTGGGGCTACAGGGAGACTCTGTCTCAAAAAGACCCAAAAAAAAGTTTCTACCTCTGTATATAGATACATATCTATTATAGATGTCTCTATTATATCTGTATATATAGATACATATAAAATCAGACCCACTTACTACAACTCTGATTTCAGAAACAAAACTCCCAACACATTACTGTGTTCCACAGACCTCATGGGATCTAGTCACTGGCCTCTAGATTTGATCTTACTTTGATCATTCACCCTCTTCCCACACCCAAGCCTCAGGGCTTTCTTCATCAAAAAGGAGTTTTTATATCACTGCCTCTGAGCCTTGGCTCTTGCCATTTCTGCTGGGATATTCTCTTCCAAATCTTGGCATGGTTGCAGGGCAGATCATTCTCATCCTTCAGGGTCTCAGCTCAGATAGCTTTTAGGGACCTCAGACCATTTGTGATGGGTTTGGGTGCCAATTCAGTCAAACTGAATTTATTTTCTCCAGAATTCCCTTCCCTGTATAATTTCAGAACAGTATGGCGTTGTAAGAAATATTTAATACATTTAAACAGTGGACTTGAAGTGGCAGCCAGACCCAGATTCCTTTGTAATTCAAAGATCCAGGAACCCCACAAGGACCGTTGCAGCTCACTTGTGTTGCTAACCTATTGACTTTTCTGGGCATATGGGACAACAGTCTGGCTTGCAGGAGTGCAGCTCCTGCTAAATAGTCACCTTCAGCTTCTGTGTCTACTTGGCTAGCTGTGTGTTTGTGGCAAGGTTCCAGCGTCTCCAGGTCAACACTGTTGAGGTTGGATGGTTACAAGAGGTGCTAGCTTGCGTTCCAGTCCATCTTCAGAAGTTCTACTCAGTGCCCATAGATTCTACTAACCCTATCAGGCTCCTGGCTTCCTGTTCTACATCATCTTCCCAACTGCCAGACACATAAGAAAAGAATCCCATAATTCCTAGAAGGACCTTGTTATAAATATTAAGTGTGCATTACATCCTAATGGCTCTGCTGGTCAGACTCTCATTTAATCCAACCCTATCATAATTACCCTTTTTTTTGTTGGGCTTACTGTTCTTTTTATTGTTTCTCTGATTAAAGTATAAACTGTAAGGGACTTTGCCTGTTGCTTATATTGTACCTATAATATTCCCTGTTCCATGCTAGTTAGGTGCTCAAACACATACATAACACACCTTTTTTGTTTTTATATATTTTTTTAAGTTTTATGATGTGTGTGTCTGTAGATGGTTATGTGCACATGAGTATTATGTACAGTGCCTTCAAAGGCCAGACATCATTTTTATGATGTGTGTGTCTGTAGATGGGTTATGTGCATGTGAGTATTATGTATGGTGCCTTCAAAGGCCAGAAGAGGGTGCTAGATTAGATCCCTTGGTGCCTGAATTACTGGCAGTTGTGAGCTGCCCATTATGGATGCTGGGAATTGTACTTGGGTCTTCTGGAAGAGCAGTACATGTTCATAACCTCAAAGCTGTCTCTCCAGCCTGTGTTTTTATATTTTTGAGACAGGATCTTGCTTAATAACCCAGGCTAGGCTGGAACTCACAATGTAGCCCATGCTGGCCTGGAACTCATAGCAGTCCTCCTGCATAAGCCATCCAAATGCTCAGATTACAGGCATAAGTGACCACACCTAGCTCTCAAATATATTCTTTGAGGCCAGTGAGATGGCTCAGCAGGTAAAAGTGCTTTGTCATACAAGCCTGCCTACATGAATTTGATTCTTAGAACTCAAGGGTGGAAAGAGAAGTGACTCCAGCAAGTACTCCTGTGACTGACAAAGCAATTCTGAAAAAGTTCCAATTCATACATTTAGCAATGTAGCGTTCACTAAATTGTACTGTCTTTAGATGTTATGAGAAGGTTCCTCAAGTTGTCCCAGAGGCAGTTTCCCTTTATTTTTATGTAATACTACATGGACATTGGGTTTGGTTTATTAACCCATCACAGCTACAAGCACCACTTTCAATGTGAAATTTTTTAATCAACTAGAGGAAGAGAGGTTGACAGTGGTTGGAAGTAGCTGGTAGAAAACAGGAAAGCTAAAAATAACATCACAGCAGCCTGGGGTCATTTAGTGTGGTGAAAACATCCCCCTGTATCCCACAACACTCAGCTTTATTCAATATAATTCATAACAAGAGCCCTCCCTATAATCCAGATTTTATAAATCATGTTTGGTAGCCTCAGATATGTAAATACATGGTAATTTTTTTCTTTAATAGATACTGTATACATACTCTAAAGAAAAAAAAATGATTTTAAAAGAGTTGGGACCTAAAATGGGGTTCTCCAGCAACTCGTTTACCTTTTCCAATCTAACCTCTGTTGCCTGTAAGATTCTTGCTTATATTTCTAGAAATGGCTCCATGCATGTATGAACAGGCATGTGTAGGAACACAAGTTGCAGCATGTCATGCACCTGTTTTATACATGTAGTAATCTGTTCTGTAACCCTGCATATAAATGGCTCCATTTTTTTCATCACTTAGCTTAGAACTCTATTATATGGAGGTACTTTGATATCATCAGTTTTTAATGATTTGGACATTGTTGCTTTCTAGTCTTTCTGTTGTAGATAAGGCTGAAATTAAGACTTGGAATCAAGAATTTGCTTAGTCTTCCTTCCAAGATGTCCCCACACACACATCCCATTTCCTAAGACTACGTCCTTAGAACTGTCTTAGTCTTCCTCCCACCCCATTACCTAAGCCTACAGCCTTAGAATTTTCTAAGTGATTAAAGGTTTCTCATTCATGGTGGGTCTTGAGTTATGCTAGCAAGATGACTCACAATGGGAGTTGGCCACACTAGAAACACCAACCATCTGATTAGAGGTTTGAGGCTTTGAGTTTCTCAAGGTTTCAGCCCAACTTTGGGGGAAGGGAAAGAAGCCAGAGACTAAGTTTAACCCTATGGCCAATGATTCTGTAAGTCATCCCAAATAGGAACTCTGGCAGTGAAACTCAGGTGAGCTTCCCTTGTTGACAGTACTCTGTGTTCCAGGAGGGTGACATGCCATTGAGACTAGAAACTGGGATCTATTCAGACCTTAGCCTTTGCATGTCTTTCAGCTGTTCTGATTTGTTTCCTTTTGTTAGAATAAACTATAATTGTATATATAATCCTTTCTTGAATTCTGTGAGTTCTAGTGAGTTACTAAACCTGAGAGGGCTGTAGGATCCTTGAACATGAAGCCATTTGATCAGGATTGAAGATTACCCTCCAAAGCCCAAACTCATGGTTGATGTCTGAAGTGAAAGTGGTCCTGTCAAGGATTAAACTGACGTTTGGCCTAGCTTCTGATAGTTGGTGTTAGAGGTCATTGTAAATATCTTTGTGTAATATTAGATGTCAAATCTGATAAAGAATAACTACCATTTTAATTGGAATTTTTCTTAG